GGTATGAAGCCATTTGGGTGACCTTGGGCCAGTCACTTTCTCTCAGCCCTAGGAAACAGACAATGGCACATTGCTTCTGAAATCTTGCTAAGAAAACTGCTGGGATTTGTCCAGACAGTTGCCAGGAGTAACAGATGTACAATAAACACCCACACAAACATCCACAAACATATATATTACATATATATTACATACATATTACATATAAACATTTAAGTGGCCTGAGGAAACAACTTAATCCTGCCCCCCAAACCCAATAGTTAAGGACAATTTTTGTGGCCTTCCTAAATGCTACCAATAAGGGAGGTATCCAAAATTCAGAAGAAAGACTATTTCATAGAAATGGGGGCCACACCAAGAACACTTGCCTACCCGCTACCCCAGGAGAGGAATTAAAATATCCTGTCTGAGTTTGAACACACAGGATGGACAGATCAGTTGGAGACCATGGTCCCAACAATATTTATTTATTTATTTATTTTATCAAATTTATATGCCGCCCTTCTCCCGTAGGACTCGGGGCGGCTCACAGAATAAAAACAGCATAACAATAAAACAGTGCTAAAACAAACCCATTTAAAATCCCCAGACAATTAAAACCTTGCAGCAGATCAGGGAATATGCTGAAAAAGCCATGTCTTCAGGTCGGCGCAGAAAGTGCGGAGGTCGGGGGCCGTCCGGAGCCCAGTGGGTAACCCATTCCAGAGGGTCGGTGCGACCACAGAGAACGCCCTGATCCTGGGGGCCACCAGCTGACATTGTCTGGCTGACAGCACCCAGAAGAGGGCAGTCCTATGTGAGCGCACTGGGCGGTGGGAGGCCGGTAGGAAGGGTTATGCCAAGTAGTGATTTAGAGGTCAAAATCAGCATTTTGCTCTGAACTCAGAAAATTATTGGCAACACCCTTAGTTCAGGAGGCACACTACTGAAGTTTTCATGTGTAACTAGCAATAGCACTTAAGACTTATATACTGCTTCACAGTGCTTTATAGTCCACTCTAAGAGGTTTACAGAGTCAGCATATTGCCCCCAACAATCTGGCTCCTCATTTTACTAACCTCAGAAGGCTGAGTCAACCTTGAGCCAATGAGAATTGAACTCCTTGAGTGAGCAGTGAGTTAGCCCTGCAGTACTGCATTCTAACCACTGTACCACCATGGCTCTTTAAATGGGCTGTCACATTCTGTATCAACTAACATTTCCACTTAGTCTCCAAAGGTAAAATGTCTAGCTAACAGCGGCAATTTATTTATTTATTTATTTGTTCGTTTATTTATTTATAGAAAATTTATATTGCCGCCTATTCACACATGGTGACTCAAGGCAGCTTACATAGATATAAAAATACTTCATCCACTCTTACCAAAAATAGTATGGGCCATCTTAAAAAAAGACAACATTCAATTATTTAATTGAGAGCAGACAATTATGTGTCCCACATTACAGTATAGGCATGAGCCTGAACTCATACTTGTACTCCACGTGTTTGTTGGATCCGTGTCCCTCCTGGCTTGTTTCGGCTGCCCGGAAGGTGACTGGAGACTGGATCCAGGCTATTGTTAAAACTTCTTTGAGGGAGGGGGTCGTACCCGCCTCCCTTAAGGAGGCGGTGGTTCGACCCCTCCTCAAGAAGCCTGCCCTGGATCCAGACTCACTTAATAACTATCGGCCTGTCTCCAACCTTCGCTTCATAACAAAGGTTGTTGAGTCCATGGCGCAACAGCTCCCACAGTTCCTGGAGGAAATGGATTTCCTAGACCCGTACCAATCAGGGTTCCGGCGCGGGCACAGCACGGAAACGGCATTGGTCACTCTGGTGAATGATCTCTGGCGGGCCGGGGATGGAGCTTGTTCCTCCATCCTGGTCCTACTTGACCTCTCAGCGGCTTTCAATACCATTAACCATGGTATCTTACTGCAACGACTTGGGGGGTTGGGGGTAGGAGACACTGTTCTACAGTGGTTCTCCTCCTACCTCTCAGGTCGTTCGCAGTTTGTATGGGCGGGGGGGCAAAGGTCCACCCCGAGGCCCCTAATCTGTGGGGTGCCTCAGGGGTCGGTTCTCTCCCCCCTACTCTTTAACATCTATATGAAGCCGCTGGGTGAGATCATTCATGGTTTCCAGGTGAGTATCAATACGCTGATAATACTCAATTATATATCTCCACCTCGGGCCACCACGGGGATGCCCTTTCCGTGATGTCCCGCTGCCTGGAAGCGGTACGGGCCTGGATGGGTAGGAACAGGGTCATACTCAACCCCTCCAAGACTGAGTGGCTGTGGATGCTGGCGTCTCGTGCTCTAGAAGTGCCATCACTTTTGATGGGGAGGTGTTTGCTCCCGTTGAAAGGGCCCGCAACTTAGGTGTCCTCCTGGATTCCGGGCTGTCTCTGGAAGACCATCTTATGGCCGTAACCAGGGGGGCTTTCGCCCAGGTTTGCCTGGTGTGTCAGTTGCACCCTTTCCTAGACTGAGATGCCCTTCGCACGGTCACTCATGCCCTGGTTACTTCTCGCTTGGATTACTGCAACTCCCTCTACATGAGGCTGCCCTTGAGGTGCACCTGGAGGCTCCAGCTGGTCCAGAATGTGGCCACGCAGGTGGTTACAGGAGCTCCCCATTACTCCTGTACACCTCTCCTACGTGAGCTGCACTGGCTACCAGTGGTCCTCTGGATCCGCTTCAAGTACTTACCTTTAAAGCCCTACATGGCTTAGGTCCGGGGATTTGCAGGACCATCTCCTACCCGCCTCCCACCGTCCTGTCCGCTCACACAGGGCTGCCCTCCTCAGGGTACTGTCGACCAGGCAATGTTGGCTGGCGACAGCCAGGGGTAGAGCGTTCTCTGTGGGCGCTCCTGCCCTCTGGAATGAGTTATTCACCAAGCTTCGGATGGCGCCTGACCTCCGCTCCTTCCGTCAAGACCTAAAGAACTGGCTGCTTCAACAAATGGGTTGATTCTGATTCCTGGGTTTTATTATTTATTGTTGCTGTTTTAAATTGGTTTTAATTACGTTTCCTTTTATTATTGTATGTTTTTAACCTGTGTTCGCCGCCCTGAGTCCTTAGGGAGAAGGGCGGCATATAAATTTGTGTAAATAAATAAATAAATAAATACTCAATCTTCACTTCTTATCTTTTACCATCAGTGTTCAATCATTCACTTTTTGCTCCATCATCTCATGAGCTCCCCAGTAAGTCAAGAGCCTTCACTCTGGTGAACAGAAAAAGGGTACTTGGAGGCAATTCCCCTCATCATCTCTCCATTCAAGAGCTTAGTGGGGTTACCTGCCAGACTGCTTGGGAAATTCTCAAACAACTCTTGAAAAATAATTAGATCCATGATGAATCTGGCATGGACTATCAAAACCCACCCTGCTACTTTTGCAGAGTCCAAAGATGCCAATTAACTGCATTTTAAATATCATTTTAAAATCATATATGTCTTCCTCCATTTCAAAAAACAAATCACAGGCAGAATCTTACAAACAACTTAGAAAAAAAAATATTTGCAGTGACTTTTTCCAAACTACGTGGGTTTGATTATGAATAGAGGATGGAAGACAGTAAAATTGTAACTAACTGAAAGTAAAATTAAATAACTGAAAATGTCAGTAAATTGCACATGATGTTCCAAGGAATATTGAAAGTACAAGAACCTCATCATTTCATTTCTATAAAATTAACTGCAAAATATAACACAGAGTTGTTCCAGTATGATTTTATGTGCAACTCTAGAATATGTTCAATCTTGTTTTTTATGTGGACAATATGGTTCTAATTCCCCATGCCCCAAACATTGCAGTTGCCAGAAGGACTCATGTTCTGCTTGGTTCAAAATTACATATTGCACATTTGTATTATTTATGGGTCAGTTTCAAGATTCAATGAATAAAATTCACCATCATTGTACATAGACAACAAGGGGAAGATAATAAAAGAACAGCCCTACTGCTGGAACAAATCATGATTGTTTGGTGTGTGGCTTCAGGACACAGAATTCATTTCAGAAGTATATTCCAATTACACCTTCTTTGCTTCTTTCAGGCTCCAAAAAAGCACAATACCCAAACAAGCTGAATGAGGTACTGATACAAACGGTTACATTTATGTACACATACCTATCTGTGTGAACATCTCTCTGCACTCACATACACAAACATCAGCAAAAGTGAAGTTTACATTGGAGCCAGAAAATATTTGCTGAAGAGTAAAAATAGGAGAACACTTTCATTTCTCTAGTTTCAATTCTTGAATGGCTGGCATAAGATTCTCCAGTTTTGTTCAAGTGGGAAAGGAAAGAATACTATAGTAAATGATTTGTCATAATATTCCTGTTAAACTTCTTTCTTCAAGAAAAGCTATTTGCTTAAATGAGTAAAACACAGATGGCAAACTGGCAGGCATGGAACAGTAACAGGTATTTCTTGAGTTTGAAAAAGCACATGTCAAAGTACTTTATTTTTATTACTTGGTATTAAACAGATGAGTTGTGTGAACTGATTCTTCAGCATTGCCAACAACCTTAATAAAGATAGTGAGAAACAAATGTCATCCTATCTTATCTTGCTTTCCCTAGCCTAATGACCTTTAATTGTATTCTACCCAAAAATATTATCATCTCAACTACCCTGATGGGAATTGTCAGGTAATGATGGCACCAGCTTGGGAACGTTGTATTGATATCAGCCATTGGCACTGACATCACTATCCTTCCCCCCCTCCCCCAATTATTTAGGTTGTTAAACCAGTGAATCTAAAGCAGGCTGAATATATTTCTATTGTCTATACAAAACTTGTACACTCTGGCTGTGCTGCTGCTGCTGCTTCACAGCCAAGAACAGCTTGGCAGATATCTGAACAGTAAGTAAATAACAATTCATTGAAGAGAGTTCCACCCACCAATTTTGGTCACGCACGCTGCATATGAGAAAACAGGGAGGGTAATAAAAGGGTAGTGGCAAATAGACATAAGCCCTTATTGCAAGAAGACATGGGAAGCGTGGCAGTGTGAGATGTTTCCCATTCCTTATCCAGAACAAAGTCAGGAATGAAACAAGATCCAAGATCCCGTAAAAGTGGATTATTATTTCCAAGCATCTGAGAAGCTTCAGACAGCTGCAGCTGGGATAAGACCTCCATGTCCAACGTCAAACCGGAAAACGGGCAAAATTAAAAATTACTTCTCACCTAGAAGAAAACCGCTTGCACTTTTCAAAGGAGCTTAAAAATTATCAACAATATTACTGAGATCTAATCAAATAATTACCTAGATAATACGAAGCTTGGATTAAAACTGAGGTTTTGGCTTTTTTAAAAAAAAACACCAGGCATAAGCATAAAGAAGAATTTCCAGGGGCTAATAAGACGACAACAAACATTTGAGGGATTGTCGACAGCTTGGAACAAGGCCAGATGAACAACCGTAGCGAATGCTTCATTTCCCACAAAGACGTTTCCACGTGTCAAAGTTTCTTGCGGTGCCACTTTGCCCATCTAAAGAGGCAGATGGCCCAACAGAGGGCAGAGTACGAAGCTATTATTTTAAGGTAAATATTCAAGTCCACAATACGTCACCAACTGGGGCTTGGCTTACTGTATTTATTTATTTATCAAATTTATATGGCTGCACATCTTACACAAAGCAATTCTAGACAGCATACAATAACATGCATTTGGATGGTTTCTGTGCTGCTATTGTCGGAAATGCAGCGGAAATATTGGTTTATGAGAAAATTTATGGATTGGTTGAAATGAATAATGGTAAATTAGATTAAAATCTACCAATATTTGTCCCATGCTTTATATACTTCTAGCAATGCATTTTGAAAGACCAGTTAATATGATTGCACTTTGCATGGTAAACATCAAGTGCAAACAGAAAAATAAATCACATATCATTTGCATGTATTGAGTAATCATCCTAATTCACATTTCACAGGGAAGTTTTGTGGTTTTTTACTGCCACTTTATTGAACTACAAGTTCTTCTAATTGTTGGTACAATGTTTGGGCTACTAGTGTCAGATTCGTTTTCTTCCTGTGAATAAGTGAAAACAGTGATTTCAACACATGACAGTGATAATGGAGACAAAGATATGATTATAGTCTGAGATGTTACTTTTTAGATCAAATTATTACAATGACACGTGAGCATCTTTCTTTACCTTGTGGCTCTTGATTTATATGACTGACAGTCTAGAATAAAACCTTTCAAGTATTTTCTACTTTTGAAATGAATGTAACTCGGGATAAAGCCAGGGAAATGAAGCCCTTGTAAAATGCAAAACCATACTGTTTTTATGCCAACAGCCTGGAGCAACAGAATAAAGAAAGGGACATAAAGATTAAGGATCTACATTCAAAACTGAATCAGCAACGACAGTGGCATCATTTAGTGGAAATTAAAATAGGCAATGCAGAGAGGGCACGCAAGGATGCAGAGAAGAAAAATGAAACACTTCAGAGAGAAATGGAAGAGTTTTTTTGTACTTTTGGAAAACTGACAAGTGAAGAAAAACTGCCGGAGCAAATTACTCAAAATTTTTAGATGCTATTTGATCCTAACTTCATCTGACAAAAAAAAAAAACCCTATAAATGTACTAATTATCCAAGTATTTAAAGGTAAAAATACAAATGAAGTTCCTCTTTGTTACATTTTTTAAAACACTAAATGTTTAGTAAGCTTTTGTTTGAATGGTTAGAGAATTACATTTTTAAAACTGAGCCTGGAATGGTTTATGTACTGGAAGAAAAATCTAGAATAAGTATTTGTTAAGAGTAGAAAACAGAATTTCTATAGCAAGCCCCATTCTTGCATCCCCTGCAAGAGGAGAAAAAGAAAGACTGAGAGTTGTTTTGAATTGCGAAATCCAGTTTGGGATCCTGCAATGAATCCAAACATCTCTCAAGATTCAAATGTGTTGTTACAATTATTGATAGACCATAATTATATGTGATCTGACTTCCATTAAAAATGATACAAGCATATATGTGAAAGTAACAACAGATCTTAGTACAGGGCAACCAACACTTAGGAGGAGGAGGAGGAGTTAGTGAGAGGACTGTTAGATTCAGAAAGAGGTCTAGTACTGAAAGTTACGTCAGATGTTTTAACAGGAGGGATCTTCAAATTTCTACAATTTAGCTGATTTAATACACAAGATTCAATCAGTCATAGTTTTGCTGAAAAGGAGCTCGACAGTTTAACTGCTTTTTTGTGTGTAAAAGAGAATATTTCCCCTCTCACATTTTGCATTTTACAAGTACAAGTACATTTTGCATTTTACAAGTACAGTTATGGCATCTAGTGGGTTACATATTTTGGATCTTGGTAAATGTCTTAAGAAATGTCAAGGTTCAAAGTCACTGAAGCTCACTCGTAGGAGTCATTATACAATCATGAGGACATTTTGAATGAGCCTATTTTTCCAGAAGAATTTTCCATTTTGTAATAAAGTCCGTCAGCTTCTTGTTTAGTGTTCTGTAGATGTCTTTGTAATAGGAAATCTTGGCATAGCAACAAAAAGAGGAAGAAAAAGAAAGGTTCTTTTTTTCTATTATTATTTGAAATACAGATGTTTAATTTTAATGAACATTACAAAAAATATTTATTTTTGACGTTTCTTTCTGTAGCTTCAGGCCAACAATGTACTTACTTTGGAATCTATAAATGCATTAAAATATGTAGATCAAACAGTGCCTTCCTTGAAATCATGGAGATGCATGTCATGATAAAATACAAATATTTTAAATTTAAAAAGATGTCCCTAATTAATAACCACACCACCAGGTGCTTGTTAACCTTGGCAACCTTAACAGATAGCTATTTGGTGCAATCTGTTTGAGGTTTGTATAGAATTTGTTTTAATTACATCCATTTTTAATGCTGATTTTCCTGCTTTTAAATGCCAGTTTTTATATATGTATTCTTTTTTTATTATTCTATATCATCCAGAGACATTTCTGTGAGATGAATGGCTATGTAAGTCTGATTAATAAATTGATTACAGCAAGAAGTGCATTGTATTATTAAATCTAGTGTTTCTGCTGTTCCTGAACCTGCTGGATCTGCTAGTCATTATCTATACTTCTGTAAGTTACAGAAGGAGACTACTGCAGTGTGCTGTAAATGAGGTGCTCTTAAAAATTATATAGAAGTTTCCAGTAGTACAAAAACACAGGAGCAGCTAAGTTTGATTTTAACCTTTCAACCCTAGCTAGCTTAGAGGCCAATTGACTGACAAGAACACCTTCCTCATGAATTCTCTATGCGCTAAAATATTATTGAGGGACTCTCTTAAAACACATTATTTCCAAAGTGCCTCATTTCCAAGCATTAGCATGCATTGTCTTTGATTTTGCACATAGCCCCAATTTGTTATTAGAAAAGTCTATGAGTTAGACTGGTTATTATTTTAGGTGCTGTTCTAAACAAGGTTCTAAATTGATTTATATTTTGTAGGGGATACGCTTTGAAAATTATTCAGGGGAGATAAATTTGGAACATATGGCTGCAATACAGCTTTAAAAGAGTCCACTTTTTCAAGACTTCATGAGATTTTGCAAAATGATGTGACTGTTTTAATAAGCAGCAAACTCATTAAACCTGCAGAACCTTTTCTCAGACTTGTACAGAAACTTGAAAAAGTGACTTCCGGTTTGTTTCTCGCCGCCGCCAGGCGATCCCTCGGGACCGCCAGCCCCATTGCCTGTAAAGAGCCGCCTTTATAACTGAAAGGTGGCTCGAAAAAACTCCGTTTCCATGTGGAAATGGAGATAGAGCCGGCGGGGGCAGGTAGAGCTCTCTGCGTAGCCCCAAAAGTTTTTTTTTTACTTTTGGGGACGAAGCAGACGAAGCTCCCTATTTCCCTCGCCGCCGCTCCGGGCTTTGGGAGACCTCTGCTTATGCAGAGCTAGGTGACAAGAACAAGCCTGCAAAATTAACAGAATAATTAAAAAGGATGTGAGCTGGACCTGTGACCCTGAATCGCAAGTATTTCGTTTATTTTCTAACAGTTATTGAAGAAGGAAAAGGAAAAGAAAAAAAGAATTTTTAAAAATGGCGACTGCCGAGGCTTGAGAAGGGGCTGAAAGGGAGAGTCCTTCCGTTTCCTATTAAGATACAAAGTAGCGGAATAAATACCTCTGGCTACAATTGAAGATAAAGTTCTACTTTTGTGTTCTCTTTTTCCTGGAGATCTGATAGTGATCTTGGTTGGAAAGAAGTTTTTTTTTTCTTCTTTGCCTCTTTTTTCTTTTCTAAAAAAGTTTGTCTGTGTGGAAACATGGCATTAAAACTTACAAAGCCGGACAAACAAGCAGTGGGGGGGGGATTCCCCCATTAATAAATTACATGAACAAGTTCTAAATCTCCAGTCTCAGAAAACTGATTTTAACATAATTGAATTTCTTTTGGAGGAGATTGTAAGAAGGGATGAGATTGTGAATCAGAACTTTGAAAAATTTAAGCAGGAAATTAAAGAATTAGTGCAATTAAAGTTTGATACTTTGGATCGAAAGATTATAAAAATGGCTAATGGTTTTACAGAATTTATGATCAAGTTGGATGCACATACTAATTTATTAGAGTCTAAAATGGAAGAAATTGAGGACAATTTGGACAATAGAATACAAAAAATTGAAAATGATTTGACAAACACTCAAGACAATAGCTCAGAAGAAAAACCTAAAATGGAGGCTGATCAAAAGACTTGTAATGCAGAAAACATACAACAACGGATCGAAAGAGAAGTTTTAATGATGCAATATAATTTTACTGAATATGCGATTAGACTGAGAGGATTGCAGGAAAATAACAGAGATGATTTAAGGAAAATATCTTCTGAAATTTTGGCTGGGATTTTAAAGGTTCAACCTGAGGAAGTATTTTGTAGGATCGATAGAGTTTATAGAATAAATTCCTGGACTGCAAAGCAAAGGCAATTGCCTAGAGATGTGGTGATTTATTTTACAGATAAAGAAATAAGAAATAATATTGTGCAAAATTCCTTCAACTCTACTTTGCAATTGTTTGGAAGAAAGATTTGGATATACAAAGAGCTCCCGCCCAAGATGTTATTGGAAAGAAAGAAATTTGGTTTTCTGGTGACTGAGCTTAAAAAAAGAAATATTCTATTCAGGTGGGATGCTCCAGTTGGCATAATATTGAGATATCAAGGAGAAAGATACCAACTAAATACTGTTGAAAAAGCGGAAGAATTTTATCAAAAAATTTTGAAAATGAATTTAACATCTTTATGCACAATACAGGATAAGCAGAAGGAGTTGGAAATAAAGGGAAAACATCGAATTATAGAGGCTGCTGTGGACAAATTGCCTTTGGATTCTTTAGACACCTCAGCTGGATTATCTACAAATATGAGAGAAGTGGTATCGGACTCTAATGTGATGATTCATCAAGTCACAGACAAGCATGGAAACCAATTAGCTGATACACAATTGATAAAAAAGAAATATGAGATACAAAAGCAAAACCAACAAGATCAAGTCATAAAGCAGAATGAAAATCGATCAGTTGATATACAACTTGTAGAAAGGAAACTAGGATGGAGATCAAACCCACAAAAAGAAAAGAAAAAAAGAAATAGGTCTCACAAAAATAAAAATTTCTAAATTAAACAACAGTGAAGCCAGTTATTTTTAAAAAATGAATGAATATATGAAAAGATAGTTGAGGCGAAGTATTGGTTAACATTATCCTGAGGAGAGTGACAGACCTCTGCAATGTCGTAACTTTGGGATGTGAAAAGAGCCTTAAATTGTTGGATTGGAATTATCTATTTTGGATTTCTTTTTTTAATTGATAAATGTATTATATTTATCTTGAGCTATAAGGCAAGAGAGCTATGCTGGGGCACGCAGAAGATCTGGTTGTTACCCATTATGATGATGGGAATTAATAATCCTGATGAAAGCCACAATTACAGATACTATATGGAATATAATTATAATGTCACTCGAGTGGTTGTTTTCCTTTTTTATATATATATGAGGATATTCATTACTGATGGGGGCAGATAATGACTGAGGATTTTGAACAAACTGTTGCAACCAGGATGCTATGTTACCCTAATATGGATGATGGACTCAACAATCCAGGGGAAAGACATCAAAGAAGATATTATATGGATTATAAATTTAAAGTCATTGATTTTTTTTATATAACGGAATAGATTTTTTTTAGCAGGGTGGGCAGTAGATTAAAGATATTAAGAATTGTTGTGCATGGCAATTTTGTAGGAAAGTGGGTGGAGATAGGTTAGTTTACTGATTGTTTAGTTTAAGAAAAGGGATGTTTAAGTGATATATTTAGGGGAGTGGAGGAAATGGATAGAGTTGAATAAATGTTAAATTAAGATTTATGGGGAAGGCTGCTTAGAAATGTTATATATATAAGTATGGGGGAGGAGAAAAAAAAGGCAGATTGTTGCTAGATTGGGAGTTATAATAATATTATTATGCTAAATTAGAAGTTATTATATAATGTTATTTTGAAATGTATGGTAAAAGGGGGAAGTAATAATATTAATAATATTATTAGCATGTAAGGGTCAGTATTTAGAGGAGGGAGTAAGGGGATGGTAAAATATTATATAATCTGTTATGAATTAGGTTTTTGTTGTGGAGAAGTCACAGGGGGGGATGGGTGGTGAGGGGGGGTTAGGGAGGAGGGGGGGAGAAAAATGGGGAAAAAATTTGTATTTGAAAACTTTTTCAATAAAAAAAAGAAACTTGAAAAAGTATGGTAACATTTTACTGTAGAGTGAATGTTCTGCAGGTTCTGAAGTATCTTTTTCAAATTATTTTCAAAACATTCCCAACTTTAACAGAATGCCTTAGTCTGCTTTAATTTCCTTAAGAAATGGAATAAGGGATACAAATTTAAATAAAATAATGGAAAATAATTGTATGATCCCCACCCATTCCAACAACACAGGGTATTTATTTCAAGAGACAAAGATCAGTGAGCGAGAGATTGTATGCATATTTCATCAACATTTAATTTTTATAGTGGCTTTAAAATTGAATATAATTCGATGTGACAAGATTATGGGGTGGGGGTGGAAGTGGGAATCTAGTTTAAAATGTATTACCAGCTGATATGTTGACATCCTTGTCAAAAGTTGAGATTTGTTTAATTTTTTTGAACTTACCAGAATTCACTTCGGTTCCACTTCCCACCAATTATTTTCTGTTGAAAAATCTCACCTAAACATTAAAATATTGTGCATGTTTTACTTACCTGTTTCTATATAAAAGTATAGTGTAGTTTCCCATTATAAGATATACTGTGAAAGAACCATTGCTCCCAATGTGCCCTGCAAGAGCAGTGAAATGTGGTCATTGTGTATATACTTCACCTTAAAGGAGAAAGAACTAAGGCTCTCCTTCATTCATATTTCAGTCTAGGGCACACCATGCAACAGTAGGGTCCTATAAACAAAGTCATTTCTCTTAATTAAGAGAGCAACATTATTAGCATGATTAGGATTAGCGCGATGGCTTAGAGGTTAAAGATGCCAAGCTTCTCAGCTGGAAAGTTGACAGCCTGGGTTTGAGGACAGAGTGCTGCTTGACAGGGTAAGCTTCTGTTACTGCCCACCTAACAGTTCAAAAGCATGCAAATGCAATTAGATAAACAGGTACCACTTTGGTGAGAAGGCAACAGCATTCCTTGTGCCTCATAGTAGAGTCATGCTGACCACATGATCATGGAAATCTCTTCGGATAACGCTGGCTCCCTTGGCTAAGAAACAGATGAGCACCACCCTCTAGAGTCAAATACGACTGGACAAGACAAACCTTTACCTTTAGGATTTTCTTAACAAAGGTTTTGTTTATACATGTATGTGTGTGTATGTGTGACTGCATACATACAGACATGCTTAAAGTACACTATAAATAACGTAATTATATATAGTATTATAGTGCACTATGTTTATATTATAAATACTAATGCTAATAATTCTTTAAATCTAACCAGAAAGGTGCGCTTAGGTCTCTCTGAAATCAACTTAACCAATGTTTAAGTGCAAATTGATTTCGGAGGAAAAAATAGCGAATACTTCACTCACAGAACTATATGGATTTTTAAAGTTACTGCTCCACTCCTAGGCCATAATTCTGAAGTCATCATGAAAAACTGCAAACTTAGTAATTTTCTAACTGAAGTTAGTGGAAAATAAATATGCCAAGAAAATTTATTTGTTAAGCTAGGACCTCCTGTGACCATGACTTCCTGCAGGCTTCCCCATTGACTTTGCTTGTGGGAAGTCAGCAGGGAAGTTCACAAATTGCAATCACATGACATAGGATGCTGCAATTACAAGACGGGCACTAGCAAACAGATCATGACCACATGACCACAGAAATTAGCACTGACGGCTAATCAGGACTACCATTCATTAAGCACCATCATAAGTTTGATCAGTCACTGAATGTGCAATTGTTAAATGAGGACCATATATATGTGCAGCTTTATATAAATTCTGAAAATAAGGAAATATTACTTTAATGCACAGGTATCTGTAAGAATTGGGGCTATAGTTGTGTTGGATTGCATCAATCTCAACTGTAGTATGCAAAATGTTATAAATGATTTACCAATAAAGACAGGAGGCATGAATATACTGAGAAGAATTACCATGCTTAAATTTTTTTAAAAAATTACTGGAGTGCAAAAATTGAACAGCAGCATGACAACATGAACATTAAAATTTTAAATAACACAATGTAAATCTTAAACTCATTTTAAACATTTATTTCTTGGCTTTTAGAAGAATTCATTTCTTAATTTAAGAACCAATTAAACTTGGGGTTTAATTAAATGTTACTACTTCCAAGGCATTACTTTATTTTTTTTTAAATTGTGTAAGTATTGAAATATAGGACCCAAGCTTATCTACAATATCCACAATGAGTTAGTGGCAGTGAAATTCACAATCAGAATTACAATTATAAAAATAAAATATAATTTTATAATTCAAAAATGAGAATGGTTTTTTGTACATATAAGGAGTAGATGGCTTGCAATTCTTCAATACAAAGTTCTTATCATGCACAATGCATATATCATGAGATTTGTTACATAATGGCATTAAAAAAGATTCTAAGCAAATTATTTAAATATTTGGCAAATTTGCATGTCCCAACATATAAAATATGATCTCAGAAGTATACATGATGGAAGAAAGACATAAAAAATCAGGGAGTCTTCTGAGAGAAATTAACTTGGGGCTCAAGTACTAGACCTGGGAATCTGTGAAACATACATGAGCTTCAATTAAGTTCTACAAATACATTCATCACCAGGAAGAAATTCCGCTCCAACAGAATTACTAAATTTATATGCCCTGATTAGTTTTATACATCACAACTTCAACCAGCTTTACAGGCACTATTGATTTTAGATTCATAAAATTTAATCAAGGTTCTTAGTATACATTTCTTTACTTCTGGATTTTGCAGTTCAACTATTATACATAGATCTCATTACTGCAAACTGTATCTGCACTTGGGGAAAAAAAAGTATTTTGCCATTTTAGGAATTTATCCAGCAAGTAATTCTCAAACTAAAAGGGTCACCAATTCCGTTTTGGAACTCAGAATCTCTGGGATTCAGACATCATTAACTTGGCAACTTGCAGTATATCCTAGCACAAATTTGTAGACTGCACACATGAATTTTTCCCTAATTCATAGAGTGCTACATAATGGCCCAAAGATACAGATCAATACTATTATATCCTATTACTTTAGTCTTAATCCAACAAACTTTATACTTAATTCCATACATCAAAGGAGCTTTCAAAATAATTTCCCAAGTCCAGCAGTTGACAAGCATCTTGTGAAGCTAACAGAGTTTCAAAAACATATTTGTGATATGACCTGTGATCTGCCATTCAAAGGAAAAAGAGAGTCAAGGCACACTGGGCACATCCAGGCCTAAATTAGAAATATGATCTAAGCCCTTCTCTCTAAATTTATGTTTTTTTTAATAAAAAAAATCATGTAAACATGATGTAACAGCAACAAAAGACTTCAGCATACCGTTTTGCAGAAAAGGTTTTAGATAGAATGGATCAATGAAGGTGCAGGTGTTAGGGTCTTTAAACCAACTCTGAACCATAATGTAAACAGACACTGAAGTCATCTGAAAAGTAAACATTTGGATGCATAAATATTCCCTTATAATTACATTTAATTAATGTAGTCTAAATTTCTGACAACTTAATCTAAACTAAAACAGCATTATTCAACTTTCTTTAAGCCTTTGGCACCCATTATTGGAAGCAGCAGGAAGCACTACTGACTTTGCCTTCACTTTTAAACTGTGCTGCAGTATTAACAAAAAGCCATTTCATCCATTTTCCTAGTAAGACACACTTTTTGCTTCCTTTGTTGCTGCATCATGAAATGTACCTCTTGGCTTTTAAAAAGAAAATGATCTGCACAGACACATGCTTCTCTTCATATAATTTTCATCATAAATATGCAAGTTTGTGTAAACTCATTTCCTTAAAGCACTTTCCAAACAATCCAGACTCTAATGTTCTGAACAAAGAAAGGGGCACATACAAAAATAACTTGGAAAACCATTCTATCTCTGCAATGCCATTCAGCTACTCAGTATATTTAAAATAATATGTAGAGGACAGAAATTGAACATTTACTAGCCAATTTGCTTCATTCTCCTTTTTTTCAGGTGAGCAGTTAAGTACAGGAAGTACACACATTATGCCTATTAAAACATTTCACAGTAATGTCAGAGCATGCTATAGTAGACAGGTTCGTGACAGGATTTTTACAGAAAGACTTGGACATTTACAAATACACACTTAGCTTTTGGAAAAGTGACACTGAACTGATTTGAACACATCAAACTACAGGTGATTGAAAGTATTTAGTAATTATATACTATTTGATCTAAATTAGTAAGAAATGACTCTACTGAAATGTAGGATTCACCATCAAACTTATAAACAAAACATGGAAAACTTTCCATGTTACATCCTACTTACATTCTTTTATAGAAAGAAAATCAGTTGTGCAAATGTATGCTTCAGGCTTAGAACTCTGTCCTTATACTTAAAATATTGACTAGTTTTATCTTCAACTCAATGAATAAATGTTAGAAGAGTCATACTTAGCCTGGTGATGATATAATGCTAGTCAAACATTAGTTAAGATATGGAAAATGGCCATTGAATCATAATGTTTAATTCATTGTTCCTTCCCTCTCATACCTGGAGTTGTCCATGCCTTTCTTAATGAATTAATGCCATACCCATTGCTCAAAAGAACATTATCAACTGATTTACAACAAGAACATTATCTAGAGTGGCAGAAAAGTTTGAATCTACCTTCATTTACCATGTCCTCCAAACAGTTTATAATCTGTTATAAAATTGTATGGAGCAATGTAGAAGAAAAAATCTAGGCAAGTGTGGTTAAATATTTCTATCACTTAAATTGTGTTTATGTGTGTGTGTCATTAACGGGCAGTGATATTTACTATTATTAATTTTATGTCATGGATTTTGCAAAGCATGAAAGAAATAGCTGAACTATAGCATTAATGTTTTATGGCTGCTATAAAAGTTACCTCTACCTATCCCTCTTTATGTATGCAGCGCACTTAACTGGTTGTCCCAGTGCAACTACAGTACATGTACATGCAACCACATTTTTCTGTCTCCTCAGATACATAAAACAAAAAAGCTATAACATAATTACAGCAAACATTGTTCCCTATTAGATGATAATCAACTCATTTACGCCTTACCCTTTCTTTAGCACATTCTCTCCAAATAAGGATTTAGCCAATAATTATTCTCTGTTTAGTTATAGCCAAGATACTCGCTATTATAATGCCTTCAGAATTCAGAAACAGCTGAATTGTTTCATAATTGGGTATGTCTGATTTAATGAAAAGAAGGACTAGGGGGGACATGATACCAGTGTTCCAATATCTCAGAGGCTGCCACAAAGACTTGTCCTTTCTTTTGTTTCCTTCTTTGTCCAGTAACTCTATCTACCACCCACCACCCACCACCCAATCTCCAACCAATTTGCTCTCACCCCTTCTCTTTCTTTCCATTCTTACTGCAGGCATCCCTTCATCTTATTCTATATCCCTCTTGTTCAATTGCTGGCTTCTGCTGGAAAAAAGGGGGAAAATACATCTGTGTAGTTGAATGATTCTGTATGCGATGGGGGGTGGGTTGTATGGATCAGCGAATGTTGGTATATGAAGATGGAGATCAATTAATATTGTGAATGAGGGACCTAATTTTTACAGGCAATGAGTTTTCATTAGTAGTTATTACTTTAATCAATATACTTTTATGTCTAACTCCTATCCTTGCCTTCTTTTTGGTTAAATACAGTACCAGCTGGGATCTTGATCCCAACTGAATTTCAGAGTTTAATCTCCCCAGCATAGCCTAAGAAAAATATAACTGTGGCTTTATGGTTGTTTGGCAGAATGGGATGAAATCAAAAGCAATCTATCTTTTTACAATGCGCTAAATGTGATTGAACACTACTACAGGGGAAAACTGATTATTTTGGAACACAATATTACATTTCAAAATAGATAGCATTTACAGTGAGAAATGCTCTTTCCAAATTTCATGCAGGTAAATCGAATGGATTTTGTGCAAAAAAAAAGGGGCTATAGAGTTATTTCAACATAGTTTGGTGGAACGCTTAACAACATTACAAATTAAGCTTTATTGGATATGATTAAACACCTTTCTTTGTTCTTTCACTTCAGTCTTTCTTTTGTTTCCTATATTTATTTTAATTAGCAATGAGATATATTTCATTTAATTTTACTCATTAATATTGTCTTTGGAAATATGTTACTAGTGCAAATAATAGATTGTGTGTCTGTACATCATAAAATGTATATTTATATTCATTTAAGAATAAATATGAACATTCTGTTAATTGCTACATGTAAGCTCTCACAGGCATTTCATGTGATCTCATATCTCAAGTAGAATGTTTAAGGAAAGCAATTAATATGTTCAGTTGCAACTTAGTAATTGAATTTTATCAAGTGATAAAATTGTATGAATATCTTATAGCCAAAAGATCTGATAGCAAATTCTATCTGGAGAAATTAGGAGTGTGGGGCTCATTCTGATAGTGTGTTTTGAAGAACCTATTGCTAAAAAAATGTTCTTTCTAAAAACAATGAATTTATGCTGTGATCCTATATCACACTTATTAAACTTAATAGGACTTATTCCCAGTCATATGTTTGTGCTGCTAGTAAAGTGCTGGTGCCCGAAGTAAAAGGCGGTAATACACAATATGCCTTTCCCAATCTCTTCCAAGGGAATTGCCCCTCCCCCAGCCTGGAAATCTTCAATAACTGTACCACCTTGATTCACAACTGTACCACAAAGTTGATTCACAACTTCGCTTCATCCACCATACCTTCTCTAAAACTTAATGCTCATCTGCCAGTCCACCTACATAGTCACATAAATATTTTCCTGTTAAATCAACCTTGCTCATGTTCAGAGCTAGAAAGAAATTGAAGCAAAGCAAATAGTCAAGACTGAGTATAATATTTAAGTAGTCCTCACATAATGACCATTCAAAATTACACTGTCACTGAACGAATCATAATTATAGCACAAAGCTACAGCACCCCCGCCATCATGTGATCCAAATTCAGGCGTTTGGCAGCTACCCACATTTACGACTGCAGGCTGTCTTGTCAGCAGGGGGAGAAAGAAGATGGTGGAAGTCAGCTGTGAGTAATGAGGCACTGGTGGAACACAAGGCAGCCAAAAGAACCCAGATAGGTGGGTGAGGGGAGTTGAAGCAGAGATGAGCATGGAAGGACAGGAGAAGCATGAAGTCCTTGTCTAACTCATGCAAGTAAGACTACCAGAATTGCAGTCACGAAGTGGTGGAGCCATGTCATGTTTTGCCTAATGACTGCTTCGCTGACCAATGGAAAGCCCAGTCCCAGTTAGTGTTGTTAAGCGAGGATTACCTCTAATTCCTACCTCTGTGTTTTAGTTCTAAAAATGACTCCTTTCACTTTTTATAATGTATTTCAATTTTTCCCATATGTGAATTTTTGAAAGTAATGATAAGCTATGTAGTGGTCCCTTAAAACATATCAAAAGCAACTAAAGGTATATCTATTAAGAGGCTCAAAGTTAGCTCCAACATGATGTCAACATCAGAGTCTCTATGTTAATACTAGGAAAAGGCAATGGAGAGACAGGTCGTACAAGTGTTTAGTCACATCTTAAAAATAGGTGCCAACGTTGCTATTTTAAAAACAAACCCTAACTCTGATAAGTATTAAGACTTATCTTTATTTATCCCACCTACTCTTCAAAGAAAAGCACTGAAATAATACATTCAAAAACGCATTTAGATGTAAAATGTGAAGCAAAAATTCACAAATTTGCTTCTTCTATGAGAAGGAGTACAATATTATTTGGTGATGGAGAGAAAAAGGCCTCAAGAAAAGAGTGCTATACAGAAAAACAATTGCATCTATATTATACGGTATTGAGAATACCAGCAAGATATATTAAGAATGGCATATGACTGCAATTGAATAGTTAAGAAACAGAATATACATTCAACAAGATTTACACCTTCCTTCCTTCCTTCCCCCTCTCAAACATACACACATTTGTTTTATAAACATGTTTTTAAAAAAATCTGTGAGAATGCCCATGGATTTGTTTGATCTTGTTATTTTAACTGCTCACCTGATATAGATCAAAACAGAATAGATTATATTAATATTTATATTTCATTTGCCTTGAGATACAAAGTTGCATTCACTCTACAATATTAAGCAGACAGTTTTACTGCAACTGAGTAAAATCACAGGCATTATTTTAGAGGAACATGCGGAACATGAAGTTTTCTATTTGGCTCCATGAACTTACAAGCAATAGAGGCCCAACAGAAGCAAAGATTCTTTGCTAATCTTAATCTTCAAAGCTGATCACCGACATCCTTCAAGTGTTCCTGTCAAAGCATCAAGGCTGCTGTCCGTGTCTGAAGCCAATGTTTGTTCTGTTGACATGGATGAAATGTCGTTGACTGATGATGACTGAGAAGGGCTGGTATTGCTATTCACTGCTGCATCTGTGCTAAGTAAACCAAGCATAAGAAAATCTGAGGCAAGACATGGTTGAAAGCGTAGGTGTTTTATGTGGCATAAAAACATATGCATGGAGAAACAATGCCAATTTGAAAATTTTTCCCTCGAAGGTAGTCTCTAAGGTAACAAAAGAACACAGTCAATACAGAAACACATGCACTTTTATGTGATGTGCAAGATGTGTGGAAAGAACAGATTTCAATTCTGTAAGAATAATAACCTTATTCTACAAGGAATGTTGTAGTTTCATATTAACAGCTCCATTCTCTATGCTTAATTTTCACAAGAAAAAACAAAGAACTGTAGCTATCTACAATGTAGAAAATCACATTTAGCATCACAAATAGATAATGCCTTTGGTAATGCCGTCTGCCAGGTAACAGGCCTGTGATTTACTCAGGACCAGTAATAGCTTGGATACTAATAGAGTTTGCATTTCCAAAAGTGATAGAAATAACTATTTTGATTTGTTCCTGAAAGCTAGGTGCAAATTGTCATCCATAACACTTAATACACTCCCTTGGAGTGCAAATCAGGCAGTGTTTTTATTCATCTCTGTCATATACTGCAGTTAAGAGAGATTACAGTGGTAAACACAAAGTTTCCCTTGATGCTTCTCATCAAGAGCAATGAATCTGCCCCCCCCAGAAATTATTTCTAAATAAATCAGAATTCTCAGTCACCAAGCATATTCCAAGTAAAATTGTTTCAAAAAAGAAATAATGTATCTCTCCATCCATATAAAAGTCTTTAACTCTTTGCAGCCTCTTTTTGGTAATCAAAAAGTTATTGTTTGTTGTCCATATGCTTTTTATCTTGTTTTTAGTCATGTGTGCATATTATCTATTGCGAAATATATAACTTATTTGGTACATATCCTTTGTTAGCAACCATGGTTAAAACAACCTACCATTAAAAAAAATTGTAAAAGAAAAAAAACCAATCTATTACATCAATGACTAACCTGAAGGCTGTTCTTTTACCAAACCATTCTTATTTCTTTCTTCCCAATCCATTACTTCCTTATATATTAACTCTGCATATAAAGAAGAGAACAAATATGGACATAAGTTATAATAATACACTTGTTGCTTATATATCATCGTTGTCATCATCATTTTAGCCATTGTCTATCCACTGCAGGATGAAGGCCTCTTCTGCATATTACCAACCTACGGATTATGGTCCTGAGCTCTCGGAGTAAGTCTTGCTTGGACAAAATCATTAAAGCTCTAAATTTTATTGCAGATGAAAATGTTTTCATTGTTGGTGATGAAAAGAACTTGTGACATTTAAATGAAAACAACCCAATCTTAAATATCAATATTGACTGAATGGAATATAAATTTGCTTAGTAGCAACAGACACTGATTTATGCAAAAGGGTGTATTCACTTTATCTCAGTTACTTATGGCATATCTGCAAAATATTTTATCAAAGTTCCTTAATATATTGCAAGTTTTACTTACCTTTCCATTCTTCAATGGCATGTTCTCTTTCTTCCAATTGTGCATCATAGATTTGGGGAGGTGGCTATAAACAAAGAAAGAATGCTACTTTATCTTTTGATAAATACAACTGCAAATCTTACAGTTAAAAATGCTTATGGAGCTGGGAACAGTATTTTGGTGCACTCCTTAGGTGGTGGTAGTGATTATGATGATATGCCTATATGTTGCATCTGAACTGGAATCTATTAAGTTTTCAAGTCAAATTCAAGTGTTAGAATTAATATTTTTTTACAGAGAACTGAAGATTATCTATAAATGCCCTGTATGAACAACCCTTACCAAATGACTCATCAAGGTGAAATGCAAGAGTCATCTATTCCTATTGGTCTTTCCAATATTAAAATCTTTTAGTGAATTTTAAATTCTTAGCATTAATGCTATCCTCAGATGATTTATCTCTTCCTTATATGTTATGTAAATTGTAGTAAAATGTTAAATTCATGAAGAAGAAGGCAATATTTGTTACTGAGTGTGATATACATAAAAATAAAAAGACCTTAAGGTACACTTACTGCTTCCGCTTCAGCTGGGTCATACCAAACTGTGATATATGGATGTCGCAAAGCTTCATCTACTGAAATTCGTTTGTCTGGATCTACTACTAGCATTTTTGATAGTAAATCTCTAGCTTGACTCGCTAGAAAACAGTAAAAGAAAAATCTTACAATTAAAATTTTGATACATAAAGATAAAATTCTATCTATCTATTATCTATCTATCTATCTATCTATCTATCATGTTAAAGGCATTTCACTGTTAAAGTTCATTTACTCTTTGTTTATTAATATAGGTAATAAAAAATATCGGAACTTGGGATATTCACAACATCAGATGATGAAACTGATATGAGCACTACTTGTAAATATAATCAGACAATTAAAAACAGATACCTCTTACATTATTAAGTATATGTATCAATTAGAATAAGTAGTGTTCAACAATTAAACTATCATTCAAAATGCTAAAAAAATTCAAAGTTTGATCTTGGAGCATGATACCTGAATTTTCATAGATTAAATTACTTCACTGGAACTTCAGACCAATTCAGTTGAAAAAAAGAAATAATAAATCAACAATTTCCATTATAAAATCAAGTTAGCATGGTAGATTCTGGCTTGTAACCTGACAAATACACATTTCTATAAAAATGTAGCAAAATAGAACAAAAATCCTACATCTTTACTGAAACAAATATACATAAACTTACTTTTTAGTTTGTCACGATCAGACTCTGATGGAAATATCCAATCTGGGAAGAGTTCTTCAAATTTGATACCTGGATATTTTGGCCTGTTTTCTACATAATTCCGTACAGTCGGTTGTAGTTTTTTCATGAAATCTGCTGATGGTGTGCCTAATTGTTCAATAACTTTATTCCATTGATCAATATCTGCAAAAATTTCATTTAGGAAAATAACATATTTTTTTCTCCAACTTTATATTGTAAATATGTGGAACTTTGGGAAAATTAGGTGCTATTTTAAACAACATCATTATTTCACAAAACAGGTTCTTACAGAAATTGTGATAACAAAACAAAATCTCAAGAACCATTAATTTGGATGAACAAGGTTCACAAAACTGACTGTGGATAATGCTGCTAAAATTCATAGGGTATATGAACTAGATTTGTTTTTAGTTTCTGTTTCACTCTGAACTCATGCTCAAGGTATTTCATGATACCTTGAATATTTTTAAAAACACCTGAAAATCAAATAGTTAAAGCAAATCAGATTTTTTTGCACTCTCTGTCAACAACTGCATTTATTCACAGAATACAGCCTACTGCTTTGGATGACTGAATAAAGGGGTTAAGTATTTATAATGAGTGTGTTGAAATTAGTTCTCTGTTAAATCCTTATGTGAATAATCTCTAATTCACAATAACAAAATCTTTCAGGAGTCCTGTGAAGCGGTTGGAACATAAAGCCTATTCTAACCATGTGCACTTATGCATCTGCAGACACTTTCTTTGGCTCCCAACACTCTTACTGTTCTACTCTTAAAAATGATTTTAATTGAAACAAAATTAAATATAACACATTACAGGATTACCGGCGATACAAGGTTGTTGTTTGTTTTTTTTTACTTTTTACCTTTTTATACTTTCTAAAAGTAAATGGATGGGTATTTCAGGACTGCAGGCTACTTCTGCTGATTGCCAACTGCCTGGAATTTGGCAGTTCAAATCTCACCAGGCTCAAGGTTGACTCAGCCTTCCATCCTTCCAGGGTAGGTAAAATGAGGACCCAAACTGTTGGGGGCAATATGCTGACTCTGTAAACCACTTAGAGAGGGCTGTAATGCACTGTAAAGCGGTATATAAGTCTAAGATTCTAAGTGCTACTGCTATTGCTGCCCTTGCCTACCATGAAAGTTGTTTTGTGTGAGTATCCATAGTCTGTTCCAAAATTCCAAATCTATCCCTCTACCCTAAAGGTTTGCCCACTCTTCATTAAATAGAGCCTCTTCATTAAACAACATAGCCCAACTGACAAGGAGAGCACAATGGCTTTCATGCGCAGTTTAATATCACTATTTTGGAGAAAACATATTGAGATATGTATTTTCCAGAAGAAAGAGAAATGTACAGGTAGTCCTCACTTAACAACCATTCATTTAGCAACTGTTCAAAGTTATGAGAGCACTGAAAAAAGTGGCAAAAGTTAACAATTGGTCCTCACATTTATTACTATTGCAGTGATCCTATGGTCATATGATCTGGATGTTTGGCAACAAGCATTTCAGTGCATTTGTACAACTAGCTTTACTAATGCTGCTAATTGTTCTGATATTTTATTTAATATACTATCAGAATGGCATATTTGATTCCTTCATATTTACAGACCCCTCGCATCCTGGACATAAACTGTTTCAACTCCTACCCTCAAAATGACGCCATAGAGCACTGCATACCAGAACAACTAGACACAAGAACAGTTTTTTTCCAAACACCATCACTCTCCTAAACAAATAATTCCCTCAACATAATCAAACTAATTACTAAGTCTGCATTACTATTAATCTTCTCATCGTTCCTCTCATCCATCTCCTCCCACATATGACTGTAACCTTGTTGCTGGTATCCTTAAGATTTATATTGACTGTTTCCTAATATGATTTGATTGCTTATTTGTTCCCTATGACTATCATTAAGTGTTGTACCTTATGATTCTTGACGAATGTATCTTTTCTTTTATGTACACTGACAGCGTATGCACCAAGACACATCCCTTGTGTGTCCAATCATACTTGGCCAATAAAGAATTCTGTTCTGTTCTGTTCTGTTCTGTTCTGTTCTGTTCTGTTCTGTTCTATTCTATTCTATTCTTATTCTATTCATCTTCCCTTAAGCAGAGGGATAGAGAGATAGATGTCACGCTTCCATGACTTCCAATTTCTTTCTAAAATTTATCTATTTTCATATTTTATGTCCTGGGGGGTATGTTCAGTCACACTGACCACCAGGAGGCAGTAGGTGACCTGTTTCATCCTTACTGGGAACTATCAGATATAAGCAGGCAGATCTTATTTTATGGGATTCAAGCCCTTTACTGGGATCAGAACTCATAACTCATTGCACTTTAGATGACTATATACAAAGCATTAGCTTTAAAAACTATCCAGCTCCTATTGATCAGCAGTATTTCAGAAAGAGATGGGTAGCTATTTAAATTAGTTAGAAAGCTAGAGAGCTAGACAGACCAACAAAAATATAGATTCTGTCAGAATGACATATATAATCCGCCTTCTCTGTAGGTTTTAATATACTACCTATAGAGTAAGATATGGCTACATACAACTGAACATTCCCAGTAAGAATGAAACCAATTACAAATTGCCTCCTGGTAGTTAATATATTTCATCTACTGTACATCCTATCTGCTTCTAGGTACCCTAACCATGTGACAATTTGCAGCTGATTGTCAGCTGAATTAACGTATTACACAGAAGACTCAAAACGAAAGTTCCTTCTTTGAAACATGGGCAAAGAGTTGGGGAGGGAGATAGGTGGCTATATAAATTTTATAAACAAAACTTAGTACTATAACATATCAAAACAATCAGACCCTAAATTATGCAAATAGAAACAGTTTTTCCTCTGTATTGGTAAATATTTTTATTAAAGGATTCGATCAGTGGAGCAAAAAAATATGTGTATGTGTGTGTATAAACTTATTTAAAATATTAATACAATAATTCTTCATTTCTTTGTCTTACTTTTCTTCTTACTCTACCCAAGAGTATAAAACAAACTCTGTACAATGATCAGTATGAACACAGATACTCACCACTAACATAATTATATCAGATCCTGCAAGGAATCAATAAGATAGGTAAGGAAATCATTACATCAACTAGAGAACCGAACAGGGAAAAAGTACTTAGAAAGTATATTGAAGAAGAGCACGCCATATAAAGGGGCGAGGGATAAACACAATATAGCAGGCTCACATTATAAAGATAAGAATTTTTAACATAAATATAGAAGGAAATTGTTGCATATTTCAAAAGTAATGCTAATAATTAAAAATCTGTGCCTTTCATGCTGGAGATATGAAGTTATCAAGATAATCTCTGAGCTTTTTTATTCCATCCACTGATGTGACTAATCTCATGCCTTGTTCTCTATGAATTCAAGTTTTTATACTTCTGAAGAACATCAGATTAGAGAATTAATAGCACAGTTAAAGGTTAAATTGCAGATTCTGCTAAATTATAGGATGGGGAAAGGGCACAAATTTGGGGGCACTCTTCTGAATTTAGAAGGTGAGAATTGTAGCAATATGCTTTCCCCCACACACGCAGCCAAATATAACAAAGGCAAAAAAAACCAAACAAACAGTCACACCTCTTTTAATGACTTCACCACATCCTCTATATATGATCCTCTAGATTACAGGTGTCAAACTCGATTGCGTCACATGATGTATCGTTTTTTCTTTACGGAGCTGGTGTGGGTGTGTCCTGCATGTGACGCATCCGGCTCGCAGGCCACCAATTTGACAGGCCTGTTCTAGATCAAGAAGTCTAATTTACAGCCTCCACCCTAAAATATTATCCAGTCTTGTGAAGACTACTGCTTTTTCATCTGTTCCTGTTCAATCATAAACAGAAATAACATTTCTGAAGAAACTACAATTATTTCTGCAATTTATGTTCGATCCAATACAACTTCAGAAATAAAAAGTAACAACATGGGTAATATGTTGGCAAGATTCCCATAACCAAGATATTTTTATTGCAAAAAGTTTTAATAAGCATGAAAGACACATATATGAAGACAGCAAATATGAAAATCAGCATTAACATAAAATCCACAGGAGACACAGCATTCATGAAGAATTGTGTTAGGTTGGTCATAAGGCTTTAGAGAATAAAAGAATACACAGGATAGAAATTAAAAAAAAATGAAAATCAAGATTCCTCTCTTTTATTGTGTTAATAGGTTAACACACAATCAACCATTAAAATACCTAAAATTAAGCATTTGTAATTATACTTTTCTAACCTTCATGCCTTCTTTAGGTATGTAGCAGGATAAGAAGTGACAAGACAAAACCATAGTTGAGTCCATTTCCATCGTGCAGAAAAATGAAAAAAGCAATCAGTTTAAATTTTGAGCAACAGTTTGCAGAATTTTCAGTTTAAATAAATGTGTTGCATTATTAAAACTGTAAAAATATAAAATTCCTGTAATGGACAATTAATGTTCAAAAACTATAATTAATGCAATTAATATAAGAATAAAAGTTTAGCTGTTTTGTTAAAACAACAAATTTCACAAATTTGGTTCATACAAGAAAGAACTGTTCCACTAAACAGATGCTATGGGATTAGCATCTTTTACACCCATTAATCAAATAACTTGTTGCTAAATATGAATTAAGATTCAAAGATTATTAGGGAAGGATACGATCAGTGCCTTGGAATATCACACAACCTTTCACCAATTCTCCCATGATGCAACCAACTGACCAGATATCAACTGAAAGTAAAAGTGAAATGATAAAATTATGAAGTGTTATGAACTAAAGCAGAAAACGAAAAAACATTTTTACATTTAAAACATAACAATGCATAAAGTAAAACAGCTAACATGTTTTGGAACAATATGGACAGGAATAATGATCTAATTACAAATTTAAAATACCAGAACACCATTAAAAGTAAATCTTATGCATACCCATATACATATACATATACATATATATATACATATACATACATACATACATACATACATACATACATACATACATATGTAGGTCTTTGGTTATTCGGGTTTTCTCCCGTGTAAAATTGGAGGTGTCTTGGCAACATTTCGACGAAGTCTCATTCGTCATCTTCAGGCTGGTGTTCTTGGCCGAGAACACCAGCCTGAAGATGACGAATGAGACTTCATCGAAACGTTGCCAAAACACCTCCAATTTTACACGGGAGAAAACCCGAATAACCAAAGACCTACATACAAACACCCGCGAAAACCTCAGAATGTATGTATGTATGTATGTATATATATTGGGCATACAAGAAATTTGCTTTACACATAAACATATACATATACATGCACCCACACACGCACGCACACACATACATGTCAAGCTTATTTTGAATAATCTGAACTCCCTGAAAGAGCTGCAAAGGATACAATCTCTTCCAGGAAACAGGACCTTATGGAGGACCATTTCGGCCATTATGCACCCAACAGACCAGATATCCACTATTAAATGTTAAGTGTAATGGGGATAAAAATTAAACATTTTTTAAAAATCTATACATATATTTTCATAAAATAATTGCACTGTGAAGGAGTCATTGGCAAATGTACTGCATATATTCAAGAATCAGCCAAGAATTTTAAATGCCAAAATACACCCAAAGTATTGAGTTTGGGTTTTCTGTAAATATACATGGTAATACTTTTTTAAAGTACCTATATATCCTATATAAATCTACCGATAAAGCCAACCAACCATGGATAAGCTGTATTTTCAACCAAAATAATGTGAAAGATGCACTACATGTGGATAAGTCAATTGTGAAAATTAAAAAACACTTGGCTTATTTGCAGGTGGCACATTTTATCGTTAAAATTCTAATTGCCATGTAGCAATTCAGGAAATCAATTTTATCATTAGCTTTCATTCTGTACTCATGAAGATATTGCAGAAAGTTTTTGTCAACTATCATGTATACAGTAATCAAGGACAGAAGTCCTACTTTTACTGTAAGCAATCAGCAGGTACTTCCTAGATAGTGCTGAGAACTAAAGTTGCATAAGTGAGCAGCTGGGTCAAGTTTGGAACTTCTACTCACCAAAACATTTTCTCCTGTTACTAAAGCTACTTCCTACACTAGCCAAAGCATGAGATCCCCTTCATTTCAAGGGGCTATTTAGTATCGATGGCTGAGTTAGTTATATCACTTGATATTATATTATGCCATCTTCATCTTCAAAATAAAGACTCTTCTCTGAACAAGCCTAGCCAAACTGACTCAGGTAATTTACCTCACAGGACAAGAAAACTAAGTTACAGTCTGAAACCAGTAAGCTTGTGGTAAGACAGTGAAAAAGTAGTAAAATCTAACCATTGATCAAGTACTCCAAACATGTCACTTCTATTCTGTAACTTACCATTCTCTTTGTATCCCATGCCAAGAATAACTTCTGGTGCTCTATAATATCGTGTTACTACATATGGGGTCATCATGAAATTAGTACATGCTGTTCTTGCAAGTCCAAAGTCAAGGATTTTGAGAGTACAATCTGATTTTACTACTATATTGCTGGGTTTTAAATCCTATGGACAAAAAATGAATCCAGTTAAATGCTGAAAAAGTAGTATAATCCTTAAAAGTCAGCACATTATTAGGCTGCCATACATGACAAGCAAAACCTATTGATCAATTAATCACATTGAACAGATGCTGACAGGTGTCACAGATGCTTTCCAGTTGATTCCAATGAACCCTGTTCTGAGTTACCTCTATTCAAAAAGTTATTTGTAACTGAAACTTTGCCTTAGCAGTGGCATATTTTCGACAGTTGGAAAAGCACTTACACTTCTTTGTAATTTTATCCGGTGTTTATTGGTGTAATAATACTGACAGTGTAGCCCACATTGAGGAACTCCCAAGTGAACACATTATTTAAAAAATTAATGTAAAAAAAGTGGAATATCAAGGTGGGCTATACAGTCTTAAATTATTAACTAATTCTGAATAAAATGACAGGTAATAGTTAAGAATGTGCAGTATTGCGTAGAGGCTAATTTTTGGGGGGGATGGAGAGGAAGACACTCTCCTAAATTTCATTTTAAGAATTGGATGTCTTCAGAGAGATGGCTCATACACCACTACAATAAAAAGGCACCACTATCTTTTTCTACTTAATGGATTCCCCTTTTCTGGAAAAGAAAAACCAATAACTTAAGGTAGGAAAATATAGAGAGGGGTTATAGCAAATCAATATTATGTTTACATTTCAAATATTTCCACCCCAGGGACATAATAAGAGGCTGGACAATTAATGGATCCTTAGGACACAAGGTGGTGCTGCTTGCCATGAAGGAGGAGGAAACAGTACAGACTCTCCTCAAGAAGCAAATAACTTGATTCTCATTATATATTTTAATATTATTCCTATAAGCTGTTGAGAGTCACTTTTGTTTGCATTGGAACAGAATAAATAAATTGTGCAAAATACCTGGTGAAATACCTTCACCCTAATGTCAAAATCCATAGGCAAGTATCAAAGCAACAGTATAGCTCTAAAAAATCTTACCCAATTATGTATTTTGATAAAATACATAGCAGGTAAGATTCTTAGCAACAGTGCATCTAAGTAATCCATAAAAACTAATATCATTGTATACACTTTTATTTTTTCAACAGGTAGAAAAATGAATTAGAAAAAGATTTATAGAAGATATAGACACAACAATGTAAAATAAAAGTCAATAGTCATCAAAAGTCACATTAATAGTGTGATTATAACAGCACTACCTACTCTGTGGATGATACCAGCTGAATGAAGATGTTTGATCCCACACAACATCTGGTATAAAAGATAGGACATTCTTTCATGATCCAGCTCCATATGAATAACTTGGCATAAATTAGCATCCATCAATTCCATAACCAAATACCTGAAATATTTTTTAAAAAGTAATTAACATATATTCTATCACAGTTCAAGCCATCAGTGTATTTTCTTCAATATAAAATAATTTCAGGACAATAAGTGAGATAACATAGGCTTAAAACTATAGTACAGGTAGTCCTTGCTTAATTAACACTTGGAGCCAGCAACTCAATCACTAAATTATGTGGTCACTAATTACATGACCATGATGGATTTCTGACATCATTTCCCATCATTTCCCAGTTATTAAGCGAGAAAACACATGACCACAACTTGCAATTTTACAGTTGACTTCTCCATTGTCTTTCCTTATTAGAAACTGGCTGTGAAGCACACAAATTGCAAAAACATGACTGGAAAACACTCTGACTTCGTAAGTCCCTGCTGACTGTGAAGTGCGTGAATCTTGATCATATGACTACAGGAACTTTGTGATGGTCATAAGTGTGATGATTGATTGTACAGTTACTTTTTCAGCAGCATAGTAACTTTGAATAGTTGCTCTATAGCAGGGGTGTCAAACTCAATTTCATTGAAGACCACATCAGGGTTGTGTTTGACCTTGGGGGGGCCAGGTGGATGTGGCCAGGGTAGGTGTGGCCAGCTTGATGTCACTCGTGTCGGGGGCACCTATGGTGGCCCAAGTGCTCTGCCAGCGAAAATAGAGCTCAGGAGGGCTGCGTGTGGGAGGGCTGCGCGCAGCCCTCCTGAGCTCTATTTTCGTTGGCAGAGGCACCACAAGCCAGTCCTTCGCCGTTTCCAGGGCGGCCCCGCAGGCCAGATTTAAACATCCCATGGGCCAGATCTAGCCCGCGGGCCTTGACTTTGACACCCCTGCTGTACAGGGTTGTCATTAAGCGAGGACCACCTGCATGTTTATGCAGAAATCATTTTAATCAAGGATTGTCATAGTGTTCAACAGTCAGATATACACTTTTTATTTTATTTTAAAATCAAATAGAAAGCACTTAGTATAAATGGAACAAAGAACAAAAAATTACAATTAAAATGAAATAGTTGATTAAAGTGTTAAACTTGAAACATTTAACTGAATTAAATATAAATTTTTCTCCATAGCAACTCTGTTAGATCAGGTGGATCAAGAAAGACTAGCCAAACTCAAACTCAAGCTTGAGAGTAGACCAGCAGCTGTATCTTCCCAGTGCCCATCCAATACCTTAAATATGTGACCCTATCTTAAAATTGAATAAACCAGGAAAACAAATTGGCAATAGAGGAGTGTATTTGTAGCTCAGGTTTGAAGGGGGTCCTTGGTGATCTCTGAGCATGGTTGTTTTCTTGCAGACCCAAACTAAGTAACACCATCAGTGCTAGTAGGGAGTGGCTATTAGTATATACACTGAGAGCAACTTCCCACTAGGACTTCCCACTTCCCACTAGCACTGATGATGTTACTAGTTTTGGGTAAGGAAACAGCTGCAACCAAAGTCAGAGGAAACAAATTGCATTACAAAGGCAACATGCAAATCATCTGTAGCACAGCAAAAATGCATTGTATCTCAAAAGCTCAATCAATTTTTCTGAGGTAAGGAAAGTGGGGACTCAAAAAGTATTTTCCAGTAATTTCCTCTATTCTGTGGACTAGTCTCCCACCAAAGACTGGAGCGACACCTAATGCATTAGCATTTCTCAAATAGGACAAGTCTTCTCTATAGAATGTTGAGAGAATTATTGGAGAGGTGGTCTGCTGTTACAGATAAATTCATTATTGTTAGTTTCTGTTATTTTTTGTATTTTTTTGGGGGGGGGGGTTATTTTTGATTAATAACTGAGAGTGCTTTGGATTACAACAACAGAAGATTAAGTAAGTAGGTAGGTAGGTAGATAGATGATTGATAGATAGATAGATAGATAAATAGATAGATAGATAGATAGATAGATAGATAGATAGATAGATAGATAGATAGATAGATTTTTTTAAAACGGTATGTTGTCCACAACAAGGTAGAATATAGTTAAAACAAGAATGTGAACTATATACCAAACAGGTTATTGTATCCCAAAAATCATATCCAATATGCACTTTAATGGGAAAATAACTTGTCTTACTACTATTCTTAGCTGAACTTTATATAGACAGTGAAGAAATCTGGTATATATGGAAAGCCTAAAATATTTCATTTGCCCAGTTTGTGTTAAAGGAAATTTCTCATTGCAGCTTCAAATGATCACTAAATGAATGGTTCTAATTCAAAAACTATTTGTATCTTTAACAATTAGGTTTGTTTAGTAAAGATTAAAAATGAACAAATGAGAGAGAGAGAGAAGGAAGGAGGGAGAGAAACAGAGATATATACATATATTTCTCATATTTACTGAAAGATCATTAAGGATACATTAGGAAGAATTATATGTTTAGCTTACTGTTGGTCAAAATGTATATTTATAAAAAAAACTCAATAAATAAATAAAAACTTACACATCTTGAAATTCTTCTAATGACTTCTGTGGTGTAAATACATTTAATAGACTAATTATCTGCAAAAGCAGAAGTCAGATAGAAATAAACAAAATTAGCACAACCACAAAATTGCACAATTATTATATGATGATATAATAATCAGATCATTCAGTAATTGTTAATATGAAGCATTCTGGGAGTGCTAAGATCAAAGAATATACAGTACAGTATAAAGATTCTAAAATACTGTAGTAAAATGCAGTAATGCAGTATAATCAAGTCTATATTAGTTTGAAGAAAGAGTGACAAAACCATAAACAGCAATCAAGATGTTATTGTCTAGACCATTTTAATAAATTATAGAAATATTGGTTGCAAATTTATGAAGCAAGCCAATGAACCATCATTCCACTTTCAGCAATGTTTGGCAAAATTAATATATATGATAAATAGATTTTAATGAAAAATCTTTTTTAGTTTCTTCTAGTATAATAATAGATCTTCTGTATTTCAACAATATTATCTCAATTTCTTATATATAGTTTTGTATGGCTGCACTGAGCACATAATTATATCTGAAATTTTACGGTTGAAGTATATATTAAAGAAAAGAACCCTTTCAAACAGCTTTCAGAGTAGAATTATTACAAAATGAAACAAAAGCTAATGTAAATAAAATTATTTTCAGAACAATAAATACTATACATTTCTCACCTTATAGAAAGCAATTCCTATAGTTATCATAATTCATTAACATTGGTGAAAAGTTTTAATGCAAATTATTAAGATTTACTACATGATATTATCTTAGACTGTAATGACAACTGACAGATACATTTACTCCAAAACTGTAATGTAAATGTTTTCAGCTATTCTATGACACTCAAATCTACTAATAATATTCATCATTAAACTTTTCTGTCCTTTGTGTGTATGTGTGTGTGTTTTCATGTCAGAGTTAAGTCCTAGCAACTGCATAGAAAATCCCTGCAGTTCAGGCAAGATTTCAGAAGTGGTTTGCCATTGTTTATTTTCTAGAGTTGAGAGAGAATGACTGGCTCAAGTGTTTTATTTTATTAGCCACATATAAAAGCTTATTTGTATAACTTCACACCTCAGTATAAGCAATCTTTACAAAGGTACAGTAAGCTATATGCTATTAAAATATTAAAATAAATGAAATTAGCAACAATGTAATTCAAGCTGTTGTGCTAATACGTCATATCAGTAATTATACTAAATAAGCCTAATGCAAGAAATGGTTGAAAATTCCTCAATAAAAGCATACGAATATGTTTTTATTGACACTATTGTTAAGTATTTCTCACATTTCCAGATTCCCCCCTCTTCCTCCCTATACATACATACATACATACATACATACATACATAACATTTTGGGTAGTCATTTGATTTCAATATAAAATACATATTTTCAAAATATGCTATATTAAATTTACTCACATTTTTGTGATTTACACACTTTAGCAGCACTAGTTCTCTGTAAGCTCTCTTTGCATGGGTTTGATTCTGGAAAGGACGACTCAGTTTCTTTACAGCAACATTTATTCCAAGAACAGTATCAAATGCAGCACTGAAACAGTGAAGCAGAAACATTCTAGCTCAGGTTCTTTGAAAACAAGACTAGTGTACGTTGAAAGCAATGACAACTTGAGCCAACTAACATTTGCCAGCCAGCAACCTGTTCTGAGCAGGGCACGTAAAACTCCTGCTTTCCCAACAACCAGGATCATGACCAGCATATTGTACTGCTAAGCTGAGTGAATGGATATCGGACTGAGGAAAAATAAGATTCGCATCCAGTGTGCAAAGGAAATTCTACAGGGATAGGGAGACAAACAAGCATCAATGCAGTTACTGTATAATGATTGTGTAGAGCTCCAGAATGAAGCAAGGATTCCCTCCAATGACTACCCCTGTGAATTTTAGAAGTATACCACGAACTTTCTGGCAAAGGGTTAAACAGTCCCAGATGAGATGGGAACCTGGATTCCCAGCCCCAGAAAAACCACATACCTATAGCAACTCTTCAATAATAACATTAAAATGGCAGTAATATATGCCAGATTTTGAAGAGCTATTCATTTGTCCATGAATTTCTGCACCCATGGATAACAGCACTGGCATAAACATAAAATTGTAAGTTACAAATTGTGCAATTGCCAAGGATGTTATAGTGCCCCAATCCTAGCTATCTTCCCTCATCTGTTCCTCAATCTAAATTCATCTACTTATTTTGTTACCATCTTTAATTTGCTCAAACACCTGTTCCTACAGAGCTATATAAAGTAGTAGCCAAAATTGTGGAAACCTTTTGGGAAAAGTGTATTTTCTAAGACTAGCTAATAACACCACTTTTTTTGGGAGTAGTACCATAAAATTATATATCAATGGAAAGATAATTTAATCAAGAATGTAATGCAATAACTTTTATGAAGGGTTTGCTATTAGAATAACAGTTACAGTATAAAGAAGAAAAGTGAAACACGTAGAAAAAATGAGATATACAAAAATTATCATCATAGAAAAAACAAGATATACAAAAATTATGACCATGTCAGTTAATAGTTGGGTAACCTTTAGCGTGAATTACGGCCTTACAACGTCGTCCCATGGAGTAAATCAAGTCTTTTAGTTCTGCAGCTGTTATAATGTGAAACCAAGATTGAATGATTGCTTCTATTAACTGGGTTTTATTGCTGGGTTGCTTCTGACTAACAAGTTTCTTTAGTCGGCTCCATATTGTTGGCTTCAATTAGATTAAGGTTTGGGCTATTCCCAGGCCATTCCAGCAGTGGAATATGATTATCTTGAAACTCCAAAAAAAAATTGGTGTTATTAGCCATCAAACCTCAAAAATACATTTTTCCCAAAAGGTTTCCACAATTTTGGCCACTATGTAAGTCATCTGGCTGTTCCTTAAAGTGAATGCCAAGAGTTAGATGCTGTTTTTTGGCCAAGTAATTAAAATATAGTCCTTGCTTAATGACCAGTTGCTTAACAATTGCTCAAAGTTACAACTGATCTCTCTAGAGCTATTACAGCCTGTTTTCGAAGTACCAACAGTTTCACACAGCTCACAGTTGCATAATCGTATTTTTGGTGCTTGGCAACCAGCTCATATTTTCAGTCGTATTTTTCCCATATCCCTTTAGGCTGAATGACTGTCATGGTTGGGGGGGGGCGAATGAGGTTGGCACTGGGAAGATCCAGCCACAAACCATCTAACAATTCTCTTATATATGAAGTATTTAAAATTTTGGTAATTTTAACTGTTTACTATTTTACTATTCCTAGAGGTGGACTGTACTTTAGCAGTTGTTTATATTAGTGTTTACAAATAAAAGATGAAGACTCTCAAGTCAAACTTGTTTCCTGAGACTTGACAAACACACTGTAGCAGCTTGCTTATTAGCAATATCTAACTGTTTTGCCATTGTCAACTGCCAGGTTATTTTTTGAATAATTTAGCCTACTGTTACAAACAACCCCACTAAATTTCTTTGGAATTAACCAAGAAAAGATAGGTGCTGCTATTTGTTTGCCTACTCACCAAACAATGCCTTGAGCCCCAGAGCCAATAGGTTTCAATTGCTGATAGCGTTTTAGTACAGTGAATGTTGAATCTGCAACTTGAACACTGTAAAACTGTGTGTCACATTTATTCTCGCTCATGTTGTAGTGTCATGTAGTCTTTATCTCAGAATTTGGCAGTTTTCAGGATCTGTGTGAAAAGAATTTTTGAAATGTGAAATGTCTTTTAAGATAGGTAAGATAACTTTTATTGTCACTTTTTACTGTGGCACACATCAAAAATGAAATTCAGTTGCCTCCTCTCAAAAGAAAGTATACCTCTACCCATACACATACATAACACAGATATACACATGTAACACACACACACACACACATCTCACTGTCCATTTTGAATACATAGCGGAAGGAAGAAAATTGAGATTCCAAAGGTGCTTTTCAAGAGGCAACTGGACTTTCTGGTTTTTCTTTGAAGATGTTTCGCTTCAGCTGAGAGCTGAAGAAACTTCTTGGATGAGAAGCGAAACATCTTCAAAGAAAAACAGAAAGTCCAGTTGCCTCTTGAAAAAGCACCTTTGGGACAACCATGACCTGGAAAACTGAGAATCTCCACAGACAGGAAACTTGAGAGTTCACAAGATTGATACTATATGGAACCAAACTGTGACTAAATCTAGATGTTCTGCTTCGGATACCATGAAGCCTCCTCCCAGAAGGTAACAAGGAAAACAGGTCATGAAGAGGATGTGTAGTGTGTCAGACAATCCTGTGGACCCTGCTTAAGCATCGCTTATATGCTATGTCCTGGATAGAAAGGAGTGAACTACCAATTATCTTTTCTGCCATCCTCACCATTTTCTGCACTGCCTTCTTGTCCGAAGCAGTAATGCTTCCAAACCAGACAGTAATGCCATATGACAGGATGCTCTCAATTGTCCCTCTATAGAAAGTGGTAAGGACAGAGAAAGGAAGATGTACTTTTCTCATGTGACACAGAAAATGTCTCACTGTTGAGCGACCAAGCTAGCCTACTCATTAGCTGCACACCCAGAAACTTGATGCTGCTAACTATCTCAATAGGTGAATCATTAATACACAGGTGTATGACTTTGCTTGCCTTTTCTGAAATCGACAATGATCTCTTTATTTTTTCCTACATTTTACGTTTAAGACGAGGCTGAAGAGAGTCAAATGCTGTAGGGAGGCTGGATGCAAAAATGTCCTTTATCAGCCTCTCAAAATATTTCATAATGATGGATGTAAGTGCAACCGGACATTAAGACCTGTAATTGTAGACTTTTTTGGCACTGGCAAAATAATGGTAGTCTTAAAACACGATGGGGCCACTGCCTGCTGCAATGAAAGATTGAAAATATCTGTAAGAACACAAGCCAACTCATCTGCACATTCCCTAAGAACATGCCCAGGGATATTATCTGGGCCTGCTACTTCCAAATGTTAACTTTCCATAATGTGCTCCAGATTTATTTGGAGATTTTAAAATTTCCAAGTAAAATTTTTATAGGTACGATGAATCAATCTTTAATGAGTAATAGGTATCACCTTTCCTCATATAGTACTCTACATGTCACCCTATAAGATGCCCCTCCCACATATGAATTGCTTAAAGTGCCCTTGAAGAAAACATTCACAACAAGCTGTACTGCCCAAGTGGTGACAGAGATAAGACTCTTCAGGAACCTGTGGCCCAGTAAACCAAATTATTTCTATTCACTGCCCACATCTCACAGGTTCCACCGTGTTTTCCCTTTTCTTTGTATTGCTGTTGCCTTTGTTTGCCTTGTAATGTAGCAGGCCAATAATATATAAGCCCTGGTTCTGCTTTTGTTCATAGCTGCTCAGCAAAGTATCAAAGCTTTGCTAGGAACCCAGTATTATTGCTTGTAAGCATACAAATAAAATTATCTTCAAAGTGATTTGATTACTATAGGTCAGGGGTGCCAAACTCATGTTCCGTGGGCCTGATGCATCAAGCGCTGGCCACGTCCATGCCCAGTTTAGCGAAGGGGGGGAAGTCGTGACATGTCACATGACAACACCATGACCACGCGAGTTTGACACCCCTGATCTAAAAGGTTGATCAATGTAACACAGTACTTAAATGAAATTTTAGCATCATTGTAACCACTTGTTTTCCATTATGTAGCAAATAACCTATTATGCATAAATTTAATGTGCCCCTAAAGGCATTCTGGCTATTTGATATCATAACAAATCTATCATACAATGCTAATTATTATAACAAATAAATGCTTCTGATATGATTAACATGTGTGTATGAGAGAAAGAGAGAGTGTCAGAGAGACATATGTCTGCAAACTTCTAATTTCAGATCTGACTATATAATATACCTTACACGCTTAGGTTTTTTTTTTTCTTGGCAGAATAGATGAACCTTACTGCAATTGTTAGACTATTTTACAGTACCTAAGCTCTTGCCTCATTCCATAAATTATAAAAGATTTCATTATATTGCAGCAAATCACTTGGAGCTCTATAATAATGCACTATATGGGTTTTCCTCAGTCAAAACAGTATGCAGGACAGAAACAGAGCCCAGTGAGTGGACAGAAGGTAGTAATCTCCCAGGACACACCTAGTGGCCCAATTGGAGTTACGAGATTGCTGAACTGAAACATGTTATCCCAAATTGCCTGTTCCATGAAACCTACATTAACAACATGGAATGGCTTGTTCTGGTATAATATGTAAAAACATCACTGTCACACTAGACTGTCTAAACTTATTTTCAGGCTGTCTTACAGAGGTGGTCATGATGACATGCTCTAGGCCAAGGGTGGGCAACTGTGGCCCTTTTAAAACCTGTGGACTTCAACTCCCAGAATTCCTGAGACAGCGTGGCTGTCTCAGGAATTCTGGAGTTGAAGTCCACAGGCTGTAAAAGGGCCACAGTTGCCCACCCCTCCTCTAGGCAAATAGTTAAGTAGGGCAACTCTGTTCTAGGGTAAGAAGTCTATGTGGAGAGATGCCTTGCTCTCTAGGCCAAATTACAGTAACTGGTCCAAATGCTGAACAGCTTCCTGTAATTTCAACGGTAAGCTTCAAGAAATAACAAATATAGCTTCAAGAAATGTTTAATGTAGCTACAAAGTATCATAAGTGCCTTAAATTCTATTCTATCATACTGTAACACACATATTACACATATTATATGCTAGATATAATATAATATTTGTGTTATAACTAGATATAATTTGTAGTTAGATGTAATATTTGTTATAGTTGTGAAAATCACTGAAGTGGTTTCCTTAAAAAAGCTTTTTTTAGTTGAATTGTGATGTTCTTAAAAAAGAACAGATAATTAAGAATGTTTAACAAAGTACCATATTGTCTGTTTTTAACAATGCAGTAAAAGAACTTAAAGAGTTTGTGCATAAAAATAAATAATAATGACAGAGAAAAAAAGCAAAAATGAAAAAGGTAGAAGTAGCCCTAAAAATAACAGGGTATAGAATTTATTTTATTTTCAATTACACAAATAAAAAACATTGGTATCATGACTTCTGATTGCTAAAATGTATTATGAAAAGAAAGTTTATAGTTCAGCTTTTTACTCTGAATATTATATTTCTTCACCAAAAGAAATCTAGAACTGTAATTATTTGATAGCTGAAGTATGCAAAAGAGAAAAAAGGTTTTATCAACATTGACATTTTAGGGCTTTTCATTAAAAAATGATTTTATTTTGTAGAAACAATAGTTATAAAATATAACTCCTCATCAAGCAACATTCATTTTTGAATGAAAAAATTAAAATCTGTATTAAATATTTGTAGTTAAAATTAAATCTATACGTATAAAGGTAATCTATTAAGGAAAAAAAATCCTCTCATCTTGCATTAACAAGCCTGGAAACCAACAGCAATCACTGAATCAATACTTATTGCTCATTGCCATTATTATTAAGAAAAATGGGTAATAAACCAATATCAAGATTAGTTAATGAAATATTGTTTAATGATTTTCCTCATTCCTTGAAAGTTCTTCAAGAAATGCCAAATTCCTTGAAGAACTTGCCAAATTCTAATTTAGCATTCTCACCAATGATGGTAATACATGAAATACAATGTGGAAACTTTACAATCAGTATAGTCTAATTATAGCATAGTATAACTTAGTTCTCAAGTTTCTCCATGCATAATTTAATATGACATTGAAATATTTCAAAAATGATTATCACAAAAAGATCTAATAATATTCATATATTTTACATCCCATATTCTTATCCCGAATCTAAATATTTCCTTGCATTAGAAAATTTTAATATTTTCTAATGGTTAACATTCCCCTATACTCTAGGAAGCCAATTTAGGGCAGAAATCCAATATTATGAAGAATTTTTATCAGGATAATTTAACAGTACTTTATCACAAAAAGAAATGTATGATAAATTAACTGAAAATAAATCTATACTTCGTTGCTGTTAGGACCATCCAGATTTCTGATATTGCTAGGTATCCTCTTGCTATGGCTCCTAAATAAAACTTGTGAAGTTATTGCTTTGGTCAGAAACCATATTTGTCTTGAATTACAGTAAATATTAGCAAAAAAATAAGTAAAAGCAATTCTCTAAACAGCAATACCTCATTAACCTAACCTTTCCTTTTCTGTGCTTTATAAACAATATGTAGCAATAATTAACAGAATTTAAAGTTTATACTAAAACTCAGATCCAAACTGTCAAAGCATTGTATAGAACTGCTAGTATTTAAAAATATTAATTAATGCCTTGCCAGCACACTGTTCCACAAATGTGTTGTCGATCTCTGGATACAACATTCTGTTTTTCTCTCAATTGAACTGCATGCAAAGAATCTACATATTATGTCCACTGTATGGACATAAGGAGTTCCCCTTGTTCTCCTGCACATCTCAGATTTATTCCACAGAATGCAAGAGAGAGGATTGAGAAAACTGATCTGCCAGCAATGTCTGTAAACTTGATGGATGGACACAACTGGATATAAAGGAAGTTTTTCCTTCATAAATAAATAAGGTTCAGATATATTAAATGAGCAGGAAGAGTCTTCTGTGTCTCTACTCTGTTGACAATATTTGTATTGCATGCTATCATCTAGATCAGGATGGACAACATTTAAATTACATATACAATTCGATCAGGGATGGGTTCTACTTACCTTTACTACCGTTTCGCAACGGGGCCGTACACGCTCGCTCGCTTGCGCGCTCTTCTGCGCAAGCACAGAAGTGTTTTCATGACATCAGGGTCAGTGGGCAGAGCCTCCCCCCAGTTTTACAGAACCGGTGCGAACCGGGGGCAACCCCCCACTGAATTCAATCCCCCAACCTTAGAGAGAAACCATATAAAGTTATCCAATGGTGTGGAGATATCATTGAGGTGGGATGTATTTATTTTTTCAGTAATCTTTTCAGGGTTCTATTGCTTTATTTATTGGGAATCTTTTTATGCAGATTTGGTTTTTCAACTCTAAACAATATACAACTCAAAAAACAAAAAAAATCAACAATACAGAAACAATAACATTTTATATTACTATAATTTGGCCAATTAAAGAATATTATAACGCCACAATTTCTATTTTTTTGAGTTTGGAAAAGCCCCCAAAGCCAAAAATTTGACTATTCTGACACCAAATTTTGATTGTACAATGTTATAACTGAAAGTTATAATGCAAGTACTTGTACAAGGGCTATACAGATAGTCTTCGATTTATAACAGTTTGTTTAGTGACCAAAGTTACAATGACACTGAAAAAAAGTGACTTAGGACACCTGTGTGACTTTTCACACTTATGACTGCTGTATTCTCTCCGTGGTCACATGTTCAAAATTCACACAGTTGGCAGTTATCTCATATTTATGACAGTTGCAGTGTCCTGGTGTCCTATGATCACCTTTTGCAACCTTCTGATAAGCAAAGTCAATGGGGAAGCCAGATTCACTTAACCACTGTGTTACTAACTTAACAACTGCAATGATTCACTTAACAACGGTGTCAAAAAAGGTTTTAATGGGATAAAACTCACTTAACAACTGTCTCAAACAACAGAAGCAACAGAAATTTTGACCTCAATAGTGGTCGTAAATTAAGGACTACCTTTATGATCCATAAGTGCAGAAATCCCTAGTGCACTAGTAAAGACAATTTTAGAAACATCAATGATTTATAGCATTATGCTCTCATTCCATCACTAGAGGAGTTATTATAGGCTGCCCACTCCTGATCTAAACTCAAATTCTGAATCAACTTTCCATAGAAAGCCACTGAATCACAAGGAATATTTTTTAAATATGTTGCTAGAACAATTTTTTTTTGGTTCTGTAGTAAAGACAGTATGCCAGGTGAGGAAAAGAAGAGCTCCTTTGATATAACTTTGCAAAAGCAGCAACCATTGTATTGAAACAACTGTTTTGCATGCCTTCAATGATCTTCTATGCACATGGGCAGAAGACAATACTTTGAAATTAGGTATTCAGGCAAAGCAGTCTATCTTCATGCTGATTGGAGCACTGAACTAGGCAACTTGCTGTTCTGTGTTGTGGTACTACTTTCCTCCAGCTATCAATTTAAGCAGCTCCATAAAGTAAAATATTGTCAAAGAAATCTTATATAACACAAAGAAATTTTTATAAATACTAACATAAAAATAGAAAGCTTTATTTCATAAACCATGTAAAGTTTAAATGGTTGTATTTTCTAAGGTACCAGCAAGCGTGTGTATTTAAAAGTCTTAATAGCAATGAAATGCTTGGTAAGACAGTCAACTAATATTTTAAGAGGGGAATATTCTTACAGATATGCAGAAAGCAAGAGAGATATTGCATGGACTCAAGCAATGGTAAGGGAACTCAACACTTTAAAAATTATTGTTTTCAAACTAATCGCTAGTTTGAAACAACAGACTACTTACTATAATTGTGCATATCTACAAAAGGATGCTTTGCTTCAGGTTTCAAGTTTCAAGAAAAACACCCCCTTGATAAACAACATGTACCCTTCATTTTTAAGAGCAGAGAAAAGCAGTCCTCCTCAGTATTCTCTAGCACTTGAAAATTCAATAAAGACTTCTACAAACAACTGCAGAGAAGCCTTTTCTGGATTGGTTGAGTGCTACAGGCTCCTGCTTTTGAATATGCCAAGAGTAGGTAAACTGCAAAGAAATACTTTCCTTTTAGCAGTTACCAGCGCAGGATAAAAAGGTTTCTATGCATCTCACAGATGTCTCTTGTAGCTTTGCAGATGACAGAAGAAAAACAGAGAAATTTTAAGATGCTAAGAAATATTCCTTCAAGGTAAAAATTAATTTTCTTATCTTGATAGAATCACACCTTTCCTTTGAAACAGTTTACTGACATGAATATGTAACTTATCATGTATACATCCACGTATTATACTTCAGCATGTATGAACCAGTTCTAATTTTTTGGTAGAGAGGATGTTTTAGAACCTAAAAGTAGTTAATTATGTGAATTCTGCCTGCTCTTTGAAAGTGTGTATTAACAGGGCATATTCTTACCACTTTTTTTGGCTATTTTGAAAATTAGGCCTGGAATTGTGATGATCAAGCTTCAAGAATTCAGGACTGTAATTTCCAAGCATCCAAAGCTGAAACAGGCAGTTCTGAAAGAACCAAGAAGAAAATTGAAAACAAGGGAATAAATGCGCGAACAAACAGCTATTTTTAAATATGCTTTTCTCCCAACTCTCAACATGCTCCATCTGTCAATATCAAGAACATATCGTGTGTACTGTTTTCTATGCAATGAACAGATGCCAAGATACTCTGTTTGTAT